TCGAGCGTTATTTGTGCTTCCCGGAAGCGAGTAGAAAACATTTTGGTGGACAACCAATGACGTGGAGAAGGAGTATGAAGAAGACAGTCTCAAGCTTGCATCAGTCGAACCGGTCCAGGCTGGGACCAGGCGACTCTGTCTCGCAGTGATTTAAAATGTTGGGCGTTATGTCCTGCAACAAACATCAATGGCGTCAGTATTATGCTGCCATATCAACTATTAGGTAATTTCGAACCGAACACAGAAACTCAAAAACAAAACAAAAAAGGTGTATGCAAAAGCGAAAAACTGCATTTTATTTCGATATTGTATTTTTCCCTTTATTATTTTTTGCCGTAAACCTGACAGTACATTGTCTCTTATCCAGTTGAAGAGCCCAAATAGGGACGAAACGGAGGACCATACTAAAGTGAGCAAATTGGCTCGGTTTAAGATTGTGTGTGGCGATTCGTTCACTTCTTTATTAACCGTTGCGATAAACGTTTTCACTCGTAACCGACTCTGCGGTCCATGTCCGAGCTCACATCCTAAAAACATCGGTTTCGAATCGTGGTCCAGGTATCTCGTTACCTGACGAGTGTACACGAGTACGAAACCTGTCGTGGAGTGCAGTGTGTTGCAAATAGAGAACATCTAGTATTCATCTACCTCGGAAACGGTTCTGGTGGCCGAATTGACCGAGGTTCGCTTCTGCATGAATAGCAGTTAAAACTGGAATTGCGAGTCACAATTCACTCATTCGCAATCAGTGTTTCAAAATGACCCATCAAGTGAGCCATTCAACGTCTTGATAAACGTCGCTCGCGAATCACTAGCGTTGGATTAAAGCCTTTGGCTAGATTGCTCTAGAGTTCAAATTACAGTCCCGATGACTCTACCCAATACTTAATACTGAATACTGAAATTAGAGAGAGCGAGAAGACATAAAGCTGTGTTGCTCCTTCGTAATTAGCCAGGGCTTCTGCACGGAATCATGTCGCTGATCTTGCACGGTGGCAGCCTACTGCAGCTGCACTACATCTTATCCGGGTGCGACACGCTCCCTACACCGGTAATCCGCAAGGTGGGCGTCGAGGAATCCGAATTCCCGACACCCATTTAGCCTCGACTGTTATCTCAGGCAATTTATTTCCATGTTTCGCCACTGGACGCTCGAAGCGTAGTGGCTGAGCGATATGCTTCTAATCCGGTACCACCAGTTTGTACCGGTGTGCGCATGTGCTGCTTGGTACGCGAACGTACAGCAGCTACCTCAACATGACGCGGTGGCCCAGTTGCAATATCCAGTGCATCATTATGAGGATAACTCGGAGACGAGGAGATGACAGGGTATACAGCCCTTGTCTCCTACATCGGTCCTCGTACGACATACACCGTAAACTGGGGATGAGCCGGGTACCTACATGTGGATCCAATTTCAGCCTATGCACCTCATCTATTGTAATCGGACAATAGGCGGGTGAGGCGTACTCAACACCGGTCTTATCATGGAAGAGAAAAAGCGGGTGGTAGTTTCTTCAGAGCAAGTACAGAAGCTGCGTTTAGGTGCCCAAAGTAGACGTAGTCCGTTTCCGTATAATCTGTTCGTGTCGTCGACGGAATTGAGATCGCTGCGTAGGAGTACATATAGATTCTTTACGGAGCTTGTAGGATGCAGCGCTTGACCGGCTATGGGGTACAAACGCCCATTACTATCCTACCGCAGATGCAAAAATGATGACTTAACCGGGTTGACCGGTAGATCAACTTCTGCAAACCACAAGGACAGGCGGTCGTGACCTTGCTGAAGTACGTCACGGACTTCAGGCGAACCAACAACCCTCCAAATCTTCAGGTCGTCTGTAAACAATGCCCAGGGCGACCGAAGAAGTTGGGGTACTTCGTTGGTTCGGATCGGGAACAAAGTGGGTCCCAATATTTTGCGTTGGGATACTCCGCTAGTGGACGGGTACCATTCCGTTAGGGGGTAATCCACCTGTACCCCAAATTTCTCCCAAAAAAGTCACTGATCCACTGGTTTAATGCGTCACCAACATCGCACAACTTCAGCTTGTGGAAGAGGACCTCATAGTTCCCTTTAGCGAAAGCTTTACAGAAATCATGGTAGATAACATCTACTGATTCCCCCGGTTCAGCAACTGTAACCGTCAGTGCCGCTTCAACAGCAGGTTGGTGATGCAGGAGCGGCCCTTCATGAAACCGTGCTGTGCGAGCGTTAAGAAGTCTATCGACTCTAATAGCTTGGAAAGACCAGTCCTCACAATTTTATCGAGTACTTTCGCCTAAATAGAGGTCAGAAAACTCGGTCGATAATTGTCCACTTTGGTCGTTTCACTGTTCTTTGGGATCGGCTTCACTACCGAGCACTTCCAGTGGTTCGACAATGCACCTGATCTAGTGAACAATTCAGTGACACCAGGCGAGATGATGGCCGATAGGGACTTTAGAATTAGCGGATGGAGGCCGTCGGGTCGGACAGGCTTCTTGTAAACAAGTGCAAAGCGGTCATGGAGCGAAATTTCGCTAGCGGGTAATATCTACCATTTAATCCAACGATATAACACCCACAGACATCAAGTCCTATAATCTCTGTATGTAAGTTCTTTCCATTGACGAGATAAACTTAAGGTCACTATAGAATAACTTCAGCCGTACGGTTGTTGAAGTACGAAGCGAAAGTGTAAACATGACACTGATTACGTGGCACATGACTCTCAACTCAGTGCACCAACCATTCCGAGCGCTAGACGCGTCATACGTATACAGTGTGTGGGTAACTACATTCAGAATCCTAATCATAATGTACACATAAATCCTGATAACTAGGAGAGGATAAGGCGATAAATGACTGTTTTGAAGCGAAGTGATCACGAGTACTCTCTGAAGTAAGACCAAAAATAACCAAGAGGATTGAGTACTACAAAAAATCTATCAAAGCGCATTTGGACCAGTTTCCTCTACACAAAACACCGAATCCTCACATAATCCGTAGTAGCAAATTTAAGTCATCTTTGTTAGACGCTGTAATAAGTGAGACCCACCAGAGTGGTTGGTTTGCACCGAGCGATACCGGCAAACAAGTGCTTGGGGTTTCCCAGTCCAGAAGGGCACGGATTGAAATCGATCCGATAGAAGTCCATGCTCTGTACGATGATTCCAACCATACTGTGAAAATCAACCGAGAAAGTTGCGAGGGGAAGACCGACAGTGGCAGAGTAGGTAAAGGTTTTCTGTTAAATCCGGTGTAGAAACGAGATACTAGCGTTAGGAGATTACTGTCTAAACAACAAGAAAACGTGACAGACTGTTTTTCCCACAAGTATAAAACAAACGGGCTGTTTAAAATCAGTAAGATTGAGCCACCGATATGAGCAACCAGTTAGAATCATTTTGTACTATGAACACACTATCTGGGAGCAATGTTTTCTAGCCATACGCCATGGCTTAGACTCGCAGTCATCCTTCTGCCTAGGTTTTGGTGCCTTGGTGCTGCTCTAAAAAGCACAGAGCAATATTCTTTCTCACAATGTCCGGTCTCATCTTGCGTCAATTATTGCGTAGTTTAAAATAGGTCATATAAACCGCTGCTAATAACACGGGAGATGTGCAAAAGTTGTTACCATCGATACATTACGTAGCTTCCAATCAACCCGCCTAAATCTCTTCTGAATCTCTTTATTGGCATTTCTTAGGCCCAGTACAAATGCTGTAAGCTACAAGAGCGCTAAAATTTGCAAATCACTTTCGTATGTCATACGAAGCAACCAAATCAAGTCGGGATGGGCATCGCCTACAGCTTCTGGGCTGAGTCAGCGTGTTGGTTGAATTTAGTTTGGCAAACCTTCCTGTGCAAGCGGTCTGACAACGTCAAATGAGGTAAGCGTATGAACTAGCGCCAAACGCTAAATGCTCGTGATTGCCTTCTAGCCAATAACTGACAGCGCTGTTGATGTCAGTCCGAAACGCAGTAAGCCATTGCACAATGCTCACAACTCAGTTACTGTTCTAATCACCGAGCACACAGCTATTCAGGTGCGCTGCCTAAGCACTTATGAAGGTTTACAAGGTTGCATGTTGTCGAATTGCAGTGAAGTCTTCCGCATGGCCAGCGGGTGGTCCATTCCAGTTGGGGCTGAGAGGCTGTTGGAGTTCAGTTTTCGGTAAATGGACCAAGACACGCAATAGTTTACCCTGTGGACTCCTTCCTTGGAGACCGATGAGTATATGCGCAATTTGCCTCCGGTCCTTCTGAGTGGAGTACACTTGATTATTCCTGCTTTGAGTACCGACACAAATGAACGCAAACCGAACACTTGTATAAGGTGCATGTGGGATGAACCACACGTGGGACAGAGGAAGTGGCAATAAAGCCGCTGCACGAATATTAGTTTACTTACATACTGTAGTCAACGGTTTATGATCATACAGAGTTCGAGAGGAACAAGAATGTTGAACACAAGTATTCTTTGATTCACATACGCCTGACACTAGCTCATCCACTACGTCATCCTGATATTTCCTATCACTACGGTCAAACAGTAAATCAGTGAAGCCTGACAGTAAAGTGATAAAATTCGTTTGATTAATAGTTGTAACGGCGTTGAGGATGATGATAAAAATGGCGACAGCAACGGTGATGACCGTGATGGACATGATGAGAGCTCTCCCAAAGTAAAACGGTTTGCACGCAGGAAGCTGAAGTGTCGCGCTTACACTTACGATGCGCGGTTATGGAAAGACCGTCTTATAAGGGAAGGGTCTATGCTTGCATACGCTAGAACCGAAGGGATTACCGTTGATTGTATCCCCTATTTATCAGACAACGGACTTAGTGAATAATACAATGATGAACCTTCCGGATAACGTCACCGTGGCGAAATCAATGTGTAGTGGAAAAACAACACGATCTCAGAGGGGCACGTGCATCAACTAGATTAAAGAGTGTGTTAAAAGTGAACATACATAGCTCATGTGTAGTCTATTCGATTAGCAAATGGAAAAATGCGCAACGAAGAATAGAAAGATAATGTAGCAACACTTACCGTGGACCTCGTAATCTAGTAACATTCGAATACCGAGGCATATAATCTGTCAACGCTGCTACTGAGCTGACAATCCAACGATTGGTAGCCCCGCAGTCGTAATAGGGTCTGGTGAATCGAACCGGTAAGAATGTCTCTTTCATTCCAGGAGCATTTGGTCCGTAGAATTTGAGTGTCTCCAGCTCTTCAATCGGTTCCCCGGTTATTGTGGCCAGCTGAATCTTGGTGGTGTACTGATTCTTACTAGGTGATGTCCCACGATCATCCGGAATAAAATTTATACCCATTTCCCGATCTCGTATGTATGGATTATTTTTATACCACGTTGCTGTGTAGTTACTGTTTGGACCAGCCCCCATATCGTAAATCTAAAGAGCAAAGTGAATGAAGACTGATTTACAAGTCCGCAATGCGAAATACGCATGAAGTTGAACATGTCATGGACTGTAAGCCAATCTAACATAATAAGTAACAATAGTATATCAGTGTTTTGTATTGATAATTTACTGTCAAACGAGCATAATGTCCCGGTTGAAACGAATGCATATTGTGATATGGGGAGCCATATATGGGGCATAAACCTTGTTGGCATTTATTCTGGCTTGGGGCGATCATGATTTGCGCTAACATGCGGTTATCAACAGCTGGTTATCGTGAAAGGGTAAGCCAGTATAGGTTTTCAATACTACGCGATGTGTTCGAATTACGCAAATCATATCTCATTTCCAAACACGCCTTGAACAGACGCGCCGGTCGGAAGATAGTTGCAAACGTGCCACCGGTGCTGGTTTGGAGACAGATCCGGTGAGGTTCAAACCCAAGCTATGTGAAAACATCCAAACATCGCATGAACACGTATCAGCTGCAGACGTCTGGTCCCTTAGACTCTAGAAGATACGAAATTCATCAAAACAGATAAAGCCGAAGACCCGTTTAGACACAATGACCGAAAGCCATCAGATAACATTTGGCAACAAAGTCAGTGGCGAAACATTTGGTATTTTGCCGAATTCGTACCGAGCACGGTCGCCAGGACACAATATACAAACTCTCGTAGCCTCCGTACCTCCCTACCGATACTTAGCTGCTTGGATATTCGCTTAAGCCACTAAGCTGATGTAATAACAAAACTACAGGAAGAAATTAAACGAAAAGCTTGACCAGAGCGATGTGTGTCGTTTTTATTGACGACCTATAAATACGTCAAGGAGTTGAGAGTCCTTACGCGTTGCTTACACCCAGTAGCTTTCCGGCGAACAACGGTGTCATTGTATCTCTTGTTCTCTCCCAATCATGCATGTATGCTTGCGTTCTATCCCGTTATCATTTTATTAAAATCGGAACTTAAAATCATGGAACTTGGATCCATATTCCCTCGGTACCCGGATTAACAGTGTGCTGCCATAACGGTTGATACAAGAAGTAGAACGGAGAATCTCCAAAGCGATTTGCCAGATAAGCCCGGTGATTTTTAAGCAGTCGTAGCCAGTGGTGAACAGACCTAACACCTGTCGTCACGTCATTGACTTATACACTAACACTGGACGCCATATAATTAGTTAGTAGGCTATGTCGCCTTTTTCACATGAGATTCAGGTCTAGACGATGCACACATTAAAGCGTTAGCAACGTGATTAACAGGTGTGACGTGGCTGAAAGAAGAAAGAAAGATGGCATCAGCAGTACGCCGGTACGCAGTAGCGACATTTCGTTGCCGCGCAATCACCACCGGTCACACGTGGGCTAAGGATACTGCGAGGGTCGCCTTGACCTACACAGAATCGAACCCGTGCCGTCAGATTACAAGACAAACTCGTTACCTTTAGGCTACGAACCGGATGTGACGTGGCTACTTGTTTATGAAGGTTGTTGCGTTGACAGAACACACCGCTGTCAAAACAGGCGGGTTGGAAAACATAATCCAAGGCGGCTTCTCATGCAGGAAGCGACTCAACCATTCGTTTAACCGATCGTTGGCTACCAAAAAGAGCCAACGGATTGGCCAGTGCTCATTAGCAACAACCGTTTATGGCCGAAAACTTTCATATACCAAGTCTCCGGAGGCCTTGATCGACAGACTACAGTATCCAAATCTAAACAGGCAAAATCAGCTAGTGTAATGTCCGGAATTGGCTGAATTTATGGATATTTGACACCAATTATGTGTCTACATATAAGTTCACCTTATGATAGACGACGGGCGTTTCCAATATACTCCATGCAGTAGAAGAATTTAAGCAATGTGAGCAGTCTGCAAGGGACCAGAACCGAAATGATACCACTCTGCAATATCGGCATTCCAACTCATCTGTTCCCAGCTACGATGCTTTTGTATTATCATCGTATTAGTATTTAATCCTTCATCATCACCGTCATCGCGTGTAACGCTAAATTCATTGTTGCTTTTAAGATAACAGAGAGCGCATATTTGCCAGTGAGAGATCTTAATATAGTGCAAATTGTTGTAACCGGGCTACTGTCAGCCAGTAGCCGAGTGGTCTGCGCTCCTGGTTTGCAACCATAAGGTCAGCGGTTCGAATCTGCGTAGGGGCGGAAGTCCTCGCGGTATACTCATCCCACGCGCGACTGGTGATGGTCGCGTGGCAGCAAAGCGCCGGTACGGCATACAGCTGGCGATTTACTTTATTTTTATAGAGCTACTTAGGAATAAATAATTGTAGAAACGGCTAACCGGCTGATTAATATCCACGTAAATCGGGGAAGTGTCATAGGCAGCTCAATAAAATTCTGTTAGCAAATTATAAAATAAAGTGACGGATGTGGGTGAATGCACTTCAATAGCCATGTCTAAACTAAAGATTCCGTGGACACCAGAAGAATAAAGCTTGCTGGTATAATATGGATAGCTGTGTACCGAAATCGTATTGTTTGTAGGAACACGTAGAAAATTCATTTCATCGTTCCAATTGTCCAATCGTCTGGCAGTCGGTCCAAACAGTGGTAGTGTATGATTGATCACCTTCAAACCGTACCAGTTCGCATAAGTTGTGTTGGTGTCCATCAGCAAGGAGCTTGTATTTATTACATTTGGCCCAGCCGAGACGTCTGCGGAAGCCGAGAAATAATAATACATGAGGGATGGGAGGAAGGGCGGATCGATCACCGGACCATCTAACCTCTGCTGGATGTAGCTGTAGAAAAACGCTCTATTCAAAGCCAAATTGTGCAAGTGCAACAGTTTCGAACGGTTAGCAAACCATTGTTGGGACAAGATTTGATTGTACCGGGGCAGTTGGCTTAGAGAATTCGGAGGAAGCCGAAGATCACTTTCGGACATGGTCATACAATTTTCGGGGTTTGCTCTGTTCATTTTTTGGGAAATTATATCGAAAGAATCTGTTGGGAACCAGCGAAATGGATTTGCCTCATCTTGTGGAAGGACGTGGTGGAAGAAAACGCAAAGTAACAGTATATGAGCTAGGTACTGCACCGGCACCATGCTGGCCAAAAGGGTTGTATATGGTAGACTGGAAAGAATAGAAAGGATTAGTTTAATTGCTTGTACAAGTAAGGGAAGACTAATCGAAAGTTACCAGGCAGTAGGGCACCCAAAACCAGAAGGAACCGGGAATGGGAAGAGAAGAAACATAAGGAACTTTGTATTGAATCGCGCTCAGAAGTTGGACAGTTCTGGGTGTATGAAATTGGAATAAGCAACAAAGCACTGGTTCGAAGTACTGATACCAATTGGATCCTCCGGTTTCTGGCTAGTGAGTGACTCCAAAAAGTCCGGTTTAGGTAAGCATCACATGACGCTGTTATATCCATAAGACTAGGATATTTTAGGGCAAGTCTACTGTTTTGTAGTAACGCAATGGAAATTTTTCTCGTTTACGCACAACCATCATCATTACACACTAGCTGACGGTGGGAGACACACTACAGTTAACTGTGTCATAATATAAAAATTACATGAGAAAGCGAGATATTAAACATTAAAGAATGCAAAAATCAACAGGAACAAGTAATATAATGCCAAACTTATTAGTATCCATGCAATGTGAGATTGTTGTTGGAGGGAGAAGACAAGCGCTAAGGAAGGGACAAAGAAACTTACAAACACCAATGTGGTCGGCTATTGGCCCGGTCAACAACTGTATACAACCAAACGTGCTCATCGTCTTTGAGACCCCGGCCCGGTAGTCATACAATGTACACCAATATTCCTTGATTTAATGTTCTCACCTTTTCGTTCATATCCGCTTGCGCCTACCTGCTCCGTGAATTACTGCGTTAACGCTCTGTCCCGTTTGCATCATCCGTGCATGTCTTCTTGTAGCCCCTTGAATATAGTCGACCCGAATATAGTCCGCTTTCTTTGCCTTTCGATATTGGTACTCGATTATGTAGCCTGATAAGGGCTAGTATTTTCTAGTCCTGCAGATTTGAAGGAAGGGTCATTCGACCACCAAACTCTAAGCAGCTACCCTAGGTTTCGCATCAAGTACTACCCGTAAATTCTGACGGACATGGTGTAACCCACGGTTAGAAAAGCCCACTAGAATGCTCAGGGAAAGGTCTATCAGTATCCACTATCTACGAATAGCAAATTGCAGTGGACTTAAATCCCTGCTGGTATGTACTTTCTTGCAATACAGAAGACAGCAAGATATGGATACTGGATATGTGAAAGGTCAGGGAACATGCGGAAGACCGAAAAATAATCTTTGGTAAAACGGAGCATAATTCAGATACGAACAATATGTGAGGCGACACGGATGTCAGAGCGATCCAGGTTGAACGGAAAATTTGGTGAAAGTGGAGCTCGAGGTAAACGCCGAGGTCCTCCAACTAACGTACGCTAATAGTCACATAACACCAAGCTGTGAGGCACTAGGGAACAGCCTCGACAAGCCCATTCACCATAAGGAACGCCCTCCAGAATGTTGAGTGGGGCGCATTTTGACAGTTTAGTTGGCCACCAACACTGAGGCGCTTCACTTCCGAATAATGAAAGCAGAAGCAGGAAAAGCGTAACTTTGTGTGAACCGGAGGTTAGAAACGCGGTCGCAAACCTGAACAATTTCTGCGTTGTTAATATGAATTCGGTGGTTTCCGCCTAGTCGATATTGATAGTGAATATCTTAGTGGACGTAAACGAAGCTACGCTTGCATCTCAGCGGACTCCTATAAATTCCGCATTCGAGCAGCACTTTAATGGCCTCATTCGAACAGCGAGCCAAACGGACTGGTCTTTACCACGGGATTCATCTATTGAAACCTGTTGGACTATCATTAAATAGGGAGTGAAATCGTTGTGCGCCCGATTTATACCCTCAAATTCCGAAAAGTTGGGCCAATCAAACCACATTGGTTCGACAAAAAGTACAACAAACTGGCCCGACGACGACGCAGACTATGGAACAAGTTCGTGTTATCTGGCTCTGATGAGGACTACATTGCGTATAAGGTGAAGCGAAATCGCTGCAACGACGCGAAAACAAGAAAACGCAGAAGCTTCGAAGAGGAGCTTGCAACCGCCGCAAAAACTGCTCCCAAGAAGACCTTTGCATACGTGAAGCGGCGCCTGAGGCCAGTAGCCAATGTCCCAGTGTTGGAAGGCTCCGATGGACAGCCCCTAACCTCGAGTACAGATTGTGCGTCCGCATTGGCGATGTAATTCGCCTCCGTATTTGCAAGTGACCAGGTGCCTGTAACGAGTTCGACAAGTACCGCTCCAGACGAACTTAACAGCCTGGACTGCAATATTGTGGATGTGCGCAAGCTTCTAGCAAATCTTGACGGGACAAAGCCTGCTGGAGCAGATGGTATACACCCACTGATCCTCAAGTCCCTATCGGCCATCATCGCGCCTTCTGTAACTGAACTGTTTAACAGGTCACTATCTACTGGACTGTTACCAGAAGACTGGAAATGCTCAGTCGTAAAGCCTGTACCGAAAGGTGGTAACCCAAGTAAAGTGGATAACTACCGGCCGATCTGCCTGACTGCTGTTTTAGCAAATACGCTCGAGAAGATCGTGAAGAAGAGCCTTCTGCAGCTTCTCGAGTCGAAAAACCTGTTGACCTCCGCACAGCATGGTTTCATGAAATGTCAATCGTGCATCACCAACCTACTGTTGACAAGGCACGAGTGGTTACAAGCAATGAACCAAGGCCATTCAGTCGATGTCATTTACATTGACTTCAGTAAGGCTTTTGACAAGGTTAACCATGCAGTGCCCCTTGACAGGCTGAGGATGTACGGTGTTGGTGGTTCGCTACACAAATGGATCAGAAATTTCCTTGTGGATCGGAATTGGAGAGTCCAGGTGGACAACCATCTAACGAACTGGTATCCATCAAGCAGCGGCGTGCCCCAAGGCACTGTACTGGGGCCGATATTGTTTCTGATCCATGTAAACGATGTGCCTAAGCTACTCCAATCACCATGTGCGTTGTTCGCAGATGACTTGAAGGTGTGGAGAGTAATCCGCATACTCAATGATTGTGATTTACTTCAGCAGGATCTCGACAGCCTCTCAACATAGTCTGCAGAGGTTAACCTTCCGATCAACCCTGCTAAGTCGCAATTCATGAGGTTGGGTAAATGGGAGCACAGCCGAACGTACACAGTGGCTGGTCAACCGCTGCATCCCGCGTCTTTCGTGCGCGACCTCGGTGTGCTCTCACGCTGCGACCTAAAGTCCATTGACAACACGAATAGGCTATACCAAAACAGCCTTCGGATGCTTTGGGCGCTCAGGCGCAGCTTCAGCACTTGGTCCGAAGAGATTGCCACTCGCCTCTTCGTCTCGATAATACGACCAATGATAGAGTACGGACTCTCCCGCATATTGTCCCATCACGCTGGGCGAGGTAGAAAAGCTTGAGCGGGTGCAGCATGTAGCCACTAGGCTGATTCCCAACTTAAGAGGTATGCCATATGAAGACCGATGTAAGAAACTAGGGCTGTACACCCTAGCATATCGTCGGCTGAGGGTTGACCTAATCATGACGCACCGGACATTACATCTGAGTGATTACCCCATGTTGAGACAACTGCTTCATCTGCGCACACCAAGCAGCACGCGAGGACACCGGTACAAACTTATCGTACCGCAGTTGAAGCGGGTAGCTCACCAACTCTGTTTCGAACGTAGAGTGGTGAATACCTGGAACAACCTGCCGCAGCCGGTAATAGAAGCGAATTCAGTGGCCGAATTTAAGAAGCTTCTAGACAAACACTTTGCAGAGGCAAAATATAGAGAGCGGTACGATAAATAAGACATTTATGTCCAAGAGCGACAATTGATGCAGCTACACAGATTATGCTCTACTCGCTGCTTCTAATCAGTATCAATATCAGTATCAGGCTAAGGAAGAGAGCCGGGCGCCGCAACCTCACATCAGCGCAGGAGTCTCCAAATGTCCAAATCCCCTTCTCTCCCCTAAGTGGACAAGTCGTTAATAGCTTGGCTTTTACTTCCTCCAAGGGTGTAGCAACAAATAGTTCAGTTGCCATACTTAAGATCCAAAAATATAACCATTCCACGGTAAAATACAACTGGACATCATGCACATCGGTTGCTGCCAGGGAAACACCAGAAAAGACATCAGGGGCTACACTTACCGGACTGGGCAAAACTGGGGTTGAGCAGCATAGATTGCTATCACCAGTGCCGCCCACAAATCCATAGAAAGCAACAGCACCCAATGCTCTTAAGCTGATAACCACCAAGCGTAATCACGGTGCCTTAAATCTTGTGCGCACTAAAGTTCCTGAAGCTTAATTCAATAAAGTAGGGGGTAAACTGATTGACGATCGCAATCAATGGGACTCCATCGGTAGTGCAATCCGCGTCTTTGCTGACCCCACTACAAGGAAATGCATCGTGCGTCACTCAAACTCATTTCACTATGGTGAGCCCCGATTACTCCGAGTAGCACTAAATTCAGCGGATGAGATTGACGTCGTTTTGCTGTACGTGATTCGACTCCACAATGCATCAAACGAAGTGCACATACCATAAGACAGCTCATGGTAGAAATGTCCAAAGTAAATGGACAACCAAGTAGGAAGCCGACAACACGATAAGAAATACGTCATTGTTCACGGTGTCCCAGAGTCCCAATCTTCCTATTCCGAAGTAGCTCAGGCGCATAAACAATGGCAATGGAGATACATTCGTGAGGCACTCTCACTAGTAAAGTGATGGAATCGGTAATCGCAGGTGAACTGACGCGATATTTTGAAAGTCTGCAAATAATTTCCAACGTCCGGCATGGTTTCAGATGCAGACGATCTAGTCTCACCAACTGCTCCTTGCCCAGGATTCATGGACCAGAGCAGCTGATGAAGGAGCCACATAGATGTGGTTTACTTAGATTTTTCTAAGGCATTCGACAGGGTCAATCACTTCGTTCTCCTCCAAAATCTTGCTGCCTGTAGTATTAATGGTTCCTTGCCCACCTGGTTGGAAGCATGCCGGAAAATCAATTTGCTCAATCTATGTAGAGATTCCCCCC